ATATGCTGATATTGCAGGAAATGAAAACAAATGTGAAACTATTTTTTAAATATTCATACATTTAAAATTAGCATTTTTTTAAAATAATGTGCCATTTGATACTATGTTTAGGATCTCATAACGTTTTCGAATTAATGTTACTTCATCAAAACGGTCATTCACATTCATATCCAGTTTTCCTTTTAGTTCTGTATCTTCAATAACATCAACAAATATCTGGCATACTGGAAATGAATCATTTAACAGAGTTAGTGCTGACAATCTGCCAAATGTAGAATTTTTGTTAAAGTATTTGAAATAAGTAATTGCTAAAGAAAAAATAATTTGGTCTTCAAACAATCTTAGAGATTCAGCATAATCTATTTTTTTCATATATTCATGAACTCGAAAGACAAAAAAATTCTTCAGCATATCGAGATTTAAGCTTATTCACGAAGTTGTTCAAAATACTGAAAATATCTGCACCAAATTAATTGCCAAAATGTTGGGGTATTTAGAGATAATATTTACTGGAAAAATACTATCAAATGTGATGACAATTGCAACACTGAAAGAAATCTTTCAGCTAACTCAACTACAGCCTCAACAATATTTGAAAGAAGATACATGTAATAAAATGCAATTTTTTATTCAGAACCTTAAAAAAAATTGTCTACTATTTTTCATTTTGGCATTTTGCGTTGGTTCACTATAAATGTCGGTTCACTTTTCAAATTGTTGCCACCAAATATTAGAGCCCTGCATTATGTTTAAAGAAATTAAATAATGAAGAATCTGCATAAATGCATGTATGTTTCTCACATTGTGATAAACAATGGTACCTAGAGCCATCAAATTTTGAATCTAGTGCATTTCCACAAGAATATAGGCATCTGGAAGCCCAAATTTGGAACTTGTTTTTATAATCTATGTCATATTTTGTAAAACTTTAATGAATTTTTTATTAATAAACTCAACAATATCAAAGCAAGCAATGGCAACACTATACAGAGAGGAAAAAAAAAAAAAAAAAAACATTCTGATCTCCAGCATGCAAGACTGTGTCTCAGAAATTCTAAAGATATGCTCATTTTAAAATTATTTTGCGATATATCTGTTGAACTGAATTTTATGGTTTAAGTGCGAAGAACAGGATATTTAATAAACAAAGGCAACACACAAAACGTTAAAAGAATGTCATTTTGGGCATAATGTAAAAGCTGAAAGCATTCAGATTTTTTTTAATTATTATTATTTTCTATTCTTTTGGCCTTTAGCAGATAATTACTGCATGCAGATCCTATCGGTTGTGGAAACTTAGCCGACAGGACACTTAACCGACAGGGACACTTAGCCGACATGGACACTTAGCCGACAGGACATATAGCCAACAAGGACAGTTAGCTGACATGGACACTTAGCCGAAAGGGCATTTAGCCGACAGGACACTTTTCAAACATGGAGAGTTAGCCAACAAGACATTAAGATGACAATGAGTGTTGCTCTTCCCAATGCTTTCAGATTTCTATCCAATCCATATATTTATCGCCGGATTGTCGCGAGTAAATGCGATGTTACCAGCTTCTAATAATTTGACGTGATGGCACCTGACAGTTGGAAGTTGTTAACAGGTGGTAAAGGAGTAACTGAGTAAAGGAACGAGAGATTTCTAATACTTTCACACTTCATTTTACTACTTTGCTCAGCACATCTTACTACATTCGTTCCTGTATAAAGTCGTTTCGCTCCTCCCACTAATGAAATATCCTCTCCTGCCAGGAAGTAGAGTGATTCACTCTACTCCTCACCACACTGGAACTACTTTTTTTTCTAAAATGCTATTTACACGTTAGGCATCACATATTTATTAATCTGGGATAGAGCTCCAGCATGGGAATTCGTACCTCGTGGCCTGAGGCCAGAAGTAGGTTTGGTTAGTGTAATTATGGAAAAGCCAGAGGGATAATATATAACCCCTGCCTAAGGGGTTGGATACCTTCGTGGAGGACTTTCTAAGGAAAACTGGCTCGCATACATGTTACACATGAGGAAAGCCACGAAAATACCCATGCAGCCTGTCCGTTCGCAGGATTCAAAATTCGAACCGAACTGCCAGTGTTCAGTGACTTTACTGCTCGGCCGCTGTTGGGCCTAACAGAAATAGAACGACTGTTTTACTTAATATATAACCAATCTCTCCCAATGAAAATTGCCTTTCTAAGCTAGAACTTTATAAATGCACTCAGGAAAATGGGCACCAAAAATTTGCCCATTACCATGTAGCTAAACCAAAAACGAGAAAGAGAAGGAATGAAAGAGAAAAAAATTAAATTAATGAAATGAAAATTTATACATTTTTAACAGATATTGAGAAAAGTTACGTTTTATAAGAAAAACATTAATATAACATATTATACTGAAAATTACACATCGCGACTTTCAAAACAGACTACATAATAGTATTATCTACTTACATGATTAATCTAGTTAAGTATAGCATCGATACATGGCACCACATTACGGTGACTTTTCAGGATATATCACTTTGCTCTGTCCTACTTGAATTATGGTCCCTCCTTCTACATCCTCCGATTTCTCTTTGGAGATTTTCCCACATCTGAAATTTTGTATCAGCAACGTTTTCGATATATGAAGAGTGAAAAATGTAGTTTTTGCCAAAATGTATTCAGTTATGAATAAAACAACACCTTAAAGAATATTTTACTTCTAAATTAAACATAATGCACCAGTTTAGTGCTATAAACATTAACCTAAGTAAGTATTTTAAGTGAGAGGCGTGGTCAATAAAATGTTACAGAATTTTTATCTCAAGAATGGTGACATGAAAAGCCCATTATAGTGGTCACAAATAATTTATACCTTTGCTTGTCTTAAAAATTCCCTTTTTTAAATTGTTTCTAATAACAAAATAATACATATTTCGAAACTAACCCTTCGTGACCATATGTTTCTATAAAAAGTATAATTCAAGAATAACAATAATTTTTATTGCATTATTCATATTTTTCATGACTGGGAAAGGAAATTTCATTAGTGGGAGGAGCAAAACGATTTTGTAAGGGAAAGAATGTAACATGATGTGTTGAGTAAAATAGTAAAGAAATGTAAAGGTATTAGAAATTTGAAAGCATTTGGGAAGAGATTGGAAATTTAATGTCATTAAGAACAAGAAAAATATTAATGATGTGAAGGTGTTCAAAAGAACCCAGTTGACTAAATGAAGACACTGTACAGATAATATTTTAAGATCATATTAAAATGTAATTAAGTGACCGCCGTACTTTGCTAAAAAAATTTCTTTTGTCCTTTCGAAATTTAATTCATATTGCTCAACGAGAAATTTCAGCGCTTTTTCAATTTGGCAAATATACATCAAACAGCACAATACATATCAAACAATGCTAAAATTAACACAATAATTAAAAGCACATTATGAGATCTTTAAGAATCGAAAAATGAATTTTACTGATATGCGAAAAAATAACTTACATATTGAACTTATAGATAAGTAGAGAAATTTTGCAATTTATAGTAAGTTTAAATAATTATTGGGTATGTGTCAGCTAAATGTCACTGTCGGCTTAGTGTCCTGTTGATTAAATGTCTGTAGCTAAATGTCCAGACGGCTAACTCTCTGTGTCGGCAAATTGTCCGAGTCGGCTAACTGTCATGTCGGCTAATTGTCCGTGTCGACTGACTGTCATGTCAGCTAACTGGTGTCAGTTAAGTGTCCCGTTGGCTAAGTGTCACGGACCCAAATGCTATCCCGCATTTTACATATGTTTTATCTTCACCATATTTTTTTTTTACTAAAGCAGAAGAATTAGCTAGGTAGTGATGGTGGTGGTGGGTTTCCTGGCACAAAAGCTTAGGATTAGCTAGGTTTTCCAAAATGTTTCACTTTAATTTTTATTTCACAAGATGTGATTTTTGATATGAAATGAAAAATGTCGTTTGGAAAAATTAGTAGAAGAGTAATGGTTATGTTGAATATAGATATAAAATGTCATGAGAACAATAAATATATTTCAATAATCAGTGTGGTGTCTATAGAACTACCATCACTCAGAAGCAGTTTGAATAGTTGTTGAGAACAAACAATTGGTCTGCTTAACTAATGAGAACTTAATTATTTTAATTTGAAAATATTTGTATAAAAGGGACAAGGACAGGAAAGCTGATTAAAGGACTGTCCTTTCCAAAAAAAGGATGGTTGACAACCCTAATGTTGCTGAATTGCAAATATGTTCAATTCACAAATCTAATTCACAGCATTTATATTCTACTGCAATTTCAAAGGGATTTTTAAAATATATTAAACAGCTAATTGTTAGCCCAGTAGAGTTCAACAATGAAACATTTCTATGATTAGAATTCAAATTTGTACTAGGAGGGAGATACTGTAATGAATTAAGTCATCAGATGAATTAATAAAAATAATCTATGTTTTCTAGTACTCTGTTCAATGAGAGTTATACATAAAAGATATAATTTATTATTTTTAATGTGAATAATATGAATATTCAATGGAATACATAATTTTCTTTTAATTGTTGCAGGTCAAAATTTATTAAATCATTTTTAATACACTTAGCATTGGAAATTGGCACTCAATTCATTAAATGTGTGTTTTGTTGTAGTATATGCAAAATCCATAGCAGCATCTAACATCAAAGAACTCAATGCTGAAAGAGTTGAAGAATCTCAAACTGCACAAATTTTTTCACTACAGTTTTTTTCAGATGAAATGTAACATGTAAAATTATCATTAAATCTACTTAGAATAAATTATGGTAAGCAAAATTAACTATAATTCAAGAGAAGGGCAAAGATCTATATAGCATAAATTCTAAAAATAATTGTTAGCAATGCACTAGAATCTTGAAAGGAAAAATAAAGTCTATTTAAAAATAAAAGTTGAAGATTCAAAATTATTAATAACCTGAATAAAGGATATATTTTAAAAGTAATTAAACAAATAAAATTTGAAACAAAACAAATCAGAAGTAAAAATCTTTATTCCATTCAGAACTAATATATCAACTCATCTGAAGCCTGCAATAAATATTTTCTTTCTTATTTTTACAATAACAAATATCAAAAAATAAAATTCTTTTTATAAAACATCTTATGAAGAGTCAACAGTCCAACTTGCCACATTTTAAAGCTTTTAAAACCAATGGAAATATCTAATAAGACATCACATGGATGAAGGAACATCAATTCTCAATCACTGACTTCTTACATTATTCAACATAAAAACAAAATGTACAAGGACCAAAATAATTTGTTCAACATATGTATATATTATTATGTACATACATTTAATTTATGGGACAGGGAAGACTAGGTACTTGTAACATGATTTTATAAATAAATACAGCGAGGAATGTCAGACTTCACTTGTACTTATCTGTGGCATACTAATAATACCAGCGATGGCTTCCGCCTCCCATTGCAACTAGAAGAAACAATAATATTATTTACTCTTACAACAAATAGAAAATATGTGTTCAACAACTATAAGAAGAATCTCACTTACCAAAATTGAATATGAAATACATTATAACTCAAATACAACAGAACTCTGATTTAATACCATATACTAAGAAATGAATAGTGAGTGCCTTGGAATCTTTATTAAATTAAACTAAGCATGTATTAAAACTTGAAATAGAAAAGCAATAAGATGCTATATTTTTTTTTCATTTAATCCACAGAGTACAGCCCATAAATATGTAAGCTACATAAAATGGAGAAGTTTATTATTCAATAAAACAACTTATAAATGATGAATGATATATCCAATGAAATGTAAATTTATTAACATTGCTGGATAAACTTTAGATTATATCTGGTTGTATCGAAAGTTCTCCACCCAAAAAAAAAAAAAACATTCTTAATAAAGTTAGGAAAAAAACATGAAAGCAGTGCCTTTATTGCGGGTGGTAATCACCACCCAAATCTGTGATTTTCTGCCAACATTTTGGTAGTTTTTCAAAGCATTCAGCCCAGAAACTTGGTGGGCACAACTCAAAAAAAAAAAAAAAAAAGATTAACTTCATTTTGGACATCCTGTACAGAATGGAAGATAGCACCAGCAAGATGTAGATGCAGGTGTGAAAAAAGGTAGAAGTCCAAAGGAGCGATGTTGGGGCTATATGGTGGGTGTGGCAAAAGATCCCATTTGAGTCCATACATAGTCCGGCCAATAAATGCAGACACATGTGGTCTTGCATTATCTTGAAGGAATATTACGTTTTTTTGCGCCAGAACTCAGTTCAAAGTTTTTCCTTAATAGCAACATCAACACAGACTAGCATCTCGCTGTACACTTTTTACTGTCGAGGGTTTTACCTTTTTTCAGATACTGTTTGTGGATAATGCCACGGGAATCCCACCAGATACAAAGCCCGATCTTTTATGTTAGTCAAATTGCTCTTTGTGATGCTGCCAACAGGCTCACCAGGTGCAGACCAACTCAGCTTGTGTTGTTGAAATAAATCTACCTTTCATCATAAGTGACGACCTGGTCCAGAATTTTGTCCTTGCGTTGATATTTGGGCAGATTAGTGGAGGACCAAACATACCTGTTCTTATCGGCATGAGTCAACTTATGCAGCACCCAGCAATTGGACTTGCATATCAAGTTATTGTGATGCACATTGCGACTAATGGACAAGTCTAACTCCTTAGCAAGCTCTCAAGTGGTTGAATGCTGATCTTCTTCCAAAAGTTCTTGCAGGAGGCCTCATCAACATCAGTAGGCTGGTCAGAGCACACTGCTTCTTGAATGACATAGTCCTTGTTCTTGAACTTTTTATACCAAACCTTCACAGTGTCATGTAATACAACATTAGTACCTAAAGCTCTACAAATGATTTGGTGACATTCTGTAGCTGATGTTTTGCAACACAACTGGAAGTAAATGATGGTTCTAATCTGGCTGCATGATAGTTTCATTTCAGACACCTTATGATATTTTTCACAAATTTCACAACATGATGTTCTAAAGCAAGTCTCTTCCTTTCAAATGCCAAAAATCGTTTGTTAAAATATGATTAAGCATGGAAAAACACGAAGTGTTTGCACTGACAATATTTACAGGAGCGGAAACTTTCATTAAAACCTGTGATGTGTGGATTATGTGCACATAAACAAATTTTTTTTAAGCAATTTACATAACAGCAATGTTTTTTAAAGGATTGTTAATTTTTTCCCTAACTCTTTTTTTTTTTTTTTTTTTTACTTCTTTTACCAACTAATGGACTGAAATTTATTTCAACATCTTAAAGTGCTCTATAAGTGGAATTCTGTTCTCTATCACTTTAACTTCCTTATTACCATTTCTATTACTTGTAAACTCCTTTCTAAAATGCTTACCACTCAACTGATACATAAGCATTTATGTATCTGTTTTGCTTTTTTTACTAACTAACGGACTGGAATTCATTTAAACAACTTAAAGTGCTCTATAAGGAGAATTTTGTTTCATATCACTTTAACTATTTATTCCCATTTCTGTTACTTGTAAACTCTTTTATAAAATGCATACCACTCAACAAATACATTAGCATTTATGAAGCTTACCAGCATGACTTGTGAAATGAATTATTGCCTCTTTCCATTATATCACTAATTTTCAAAAACCTTTCCATTTGTATTTAATTGTAATTACTTAACGTCAGGTAATTTTAAAAAATTCTAAATTAATTCATCACCTTTAGGTCATTTTACTAAAATTGCTTAAATAAGTGCTTTGAAAATTGTTATTTATCCATAAATAGTTTTGTTCCCTCCTGTACAATGTAGCAATTATATTTATTTTACTTAATTTTTGAATTTTGTACTATTTTGCTATTATTTTTCCTACTAGAAATTTTGATTTTTTCTACATTTACAGGTTTAAAAAATCTTGCCATTTTGATTTGAGAGACATTGCTGAACTTAGTTGATCTATTTCTTTTTTGGCATTTTCTTTTACACTATTGTTTCCCAAGATACATTTGTTTACATTGCAAGTTTATCCTTGCATTAATATGTCTATTTTTCTTACGCTGTTAGTACGACAGAGCACAAACACACACCAAAACAGAAATAAGCATAAAACATAAGAAATTAAAGTATATGAAGCTATTAAATGGCAAACATGCTTTAATTTACTTTTACAATATGAAAAGTATTAATATTAGTTCAATTTTTTAAAATTTCATTTATTAAGTTGGAAAAAATATTGTTTGTGTAACATTAACAATTTAGATAGAATTTAGGTTCTTGAAACCATTCATTTTATGTTTAAAAATATACAAAATATCAGTAAAAATTAAATATTACTGGGTAAGGAATCATGATATTGCAGCTTCTGTGGACAACAATTAAAGCAGTATTTTAGTGTCATCAAATGTTCCGTGGGAGGAAGTTTCTTGCAAGTATAAAAAATGTTCTTTGGTTTAATCTTGGAAACTCAGAATGATGGCTTTGACACTGTAATTTAGACAAAACTGAGTGTATGTTAATTTGTAAGAAACATGAGCTTTGGTCTCAAATTTTATTTCAGAAAAGGATTCAATTCTTCCCTTTAATTTATATGATCTCGTATTAAATCCAATGCCAACTTTTTCAAAAAGTGGCACAGCTTTTATTTTCATAAATTTTTATCTACTACACAAGCATTAACACCAGCTATATTCAGCATTGCGAAAAATATCTTAAGTGGCTATCTACAACCATTTCTGAACACATCATACAAGGGCACATCTGACCAACAACATCAACACCTCTCTTTGCACTGTTATAAAAATGTATTTCTGGCTTTCTGTTGGAGAATTTTTATCAGTTACCATATCATAATGCTTGATGCTAATATGATAATTTTGCCTCAGGGAATAGTTCAAATATTGAAAGAATTCAGCAAAATAGACAACATCTATTCGAAGTTTACTTACTCACTTCGTGCGGAGGATTCTACAGCCCCACAAAGCAATAAAATCACCCTTATAAGTCAAAAAATCATTAGAATAATGAATAAAGTTTGGAATTTGGGGCACCATTAAGTGAATATATTAACAACAGTTGTGCTGGAGTGCTGAAATACCCTGTAGCACTAATACAGGGCTAAATCAAATTTGTATCATATGCTTGTTGTTGCTTTTTAGCCACAAAAGAATTGGACTATATTATGAACAAATGGCTATTTTTTATTTACAGAAATTACAGAATTTAGGCTATTTTAAATATAATAAGTTTTGGCTTTTGTGCATTATTACTGTGTGGTTCAGAAACACGGTAATCTTGTTACACTATCCCCTAAAGACATGTTAAGTGATTTATAATGTTTTATACTTTTCTTAGATTATTTTCTATTTTCCCTTATACTAAAATTATACTTCTCTTATACTCGAAATCTGCTTGATCCAGGAAAGATTATAAACAATTTTTTGTTATTTTGTATAAATTGTAAAGGAAAAAAACAGCAGATTAGGGAGATTATATATATCCGTAAAATTGTAATCATGCTTACTACATGTATCCAGCCTTATTAAACAATTTAATTTGGTTCTGATTTTATAAAAAAGCCCATGTTAGTGTTAACTCCTCTCAGAGCTTCAGAATACTAGATCTTTTTTCTTATTTCTTTTTCTGAACTTTATGTTAGTTTTATCAAATTTTGGTTTCTGTTTTGTGTAAGAACTTTTTTCAAAAACCTAGAATAATCTTCTAGTGCCCATCTGCACTAAATAAAAGTCACCCCCCTTTGCAAAATTATTTACTCCCCCAAGCATTTACTCCCACACACCTATTGTTCCCTTTATTGCTTGTCATTTCAATATATCATAATTCAAACACTTCAAAAAAAATCTTCGAACAAATGACTTCAAAAGATAAAACCATTGCACGTGTATCTTTCAGGATTCTTTCTAAAAAAAAGGGGGGGTGTATTATATGGTGAATATACCTAAAAATTAATAAATGCAGTTGAAATTATATATGAAAAATATACTATATATGCCAAATATATGGTATATTATTTTAGGAGATAATTGCAAAGTAAAAAGAGATCTTGTGGTTTCTTCTGGTTTAGACAGTTCCTTCCCACTTAAATCTGGACATAACAGAGTGAACCTTTGACCACAAATGATACACTTTACAGAACTACGGCATATGTTCGCTACACGTCCCACTTTCAAAGATATCAGACAGCACTTTTTCGTTGATTATTCCTGTTCTCAAAGAAAGACATTCAAGCATTTTTCTTTGCAGCCTTGATTGTTGTGAGTTTTATAAAAAAAAAAAAAAGAAAAGAAAAGAAAAGAAAAGAAAGGGGAAAAAAAAAAAAAAAAGTCACTGAGTCATCTTATTAAGATGACACAAGGTAGGTATACCAGTAACATATAAATCTGAGACAGAATTTTTAACTTTATAAGACATAATTGTGCATGAAGCAAAACTAGATTTTTCGAA